TGATATTTTTTTCAGAAAGCCCTAGTGATAGACAACTCGAAAAAAAATATAAGGGAGGCTATCCCATAATTTTTGATATGCTTTTGATATACTTGTATATACATTGGAAGCGGCCATAATTTATGCAAATGGCTGTATATATATATATATTTTTAGATATCGTGCATTTAAAAGCTCTTACAACTCTCTGTGCCTTTAATGAGAGCCTAGCTCGATACATAACTCCTAGTTTTCCATCATTCTTAGGCTTCCATCATTCCTACTGTTATATTTCATATTTTTTCTTTCAAATTCAAATTATTTTTTAAGATAGCTTAGAGCTGCATCTTTATTTTACTTACATAAACTAGACATAGACTAACCAATGTCGCTTCCAGCTAACTTTTTCCTATATTAGTCTTTACTTTAAGGAGATTTAAGTTTGATTAATATACAGATTTAAGTGAATTTAAAGTTATTTAAACACACCATTTCATCCTGTGAAAATTRCAATTCGCGATAGTATTTTTTAATGAATAGTAGAGAGTTAATTTTTTTACCTTTGTTGATGTTTGTTTACTTGTCGTAATAGGTTGGGCAGATGTGGATAAAACATGATGGTTTTGATCTTGCAATTCATTGCCAATGGTTTTCACGAAAGCAACGCGAACTGAATATTACAAAAATGGAAAACGATAAAGATGARAACATCTCGTACTGATGTCTTACATAACCATATGAAAACACTCAAAGATTTGTGAAGTATACTATAGTATCTACAAGTGTGCATGACAACACGTTTGTTTTTACCTGTAGGATTCCCACATGAAACACCCCTAATTAAAAACGTATGACAGTATTCTCGTTGTGGATCTTCGAGTTGACAGTCTGCAAGCGAAGCTTCATTGCCGTGGCACTTCGTTAGAGTCAGAATGGTTGACAGGTTTGCTATCAATGGTGGAGACCATGGACTTGGTTTACCAGTCATGCCGAGCATATYACATGCTATTCTTGATTCTCTAACGGTCCAGTATCTAGCACAAATCTTGCCCCAACGACCCTTGAGTTTAACTTCTACATAACCATGATTAGGTGTCGACCCTCCAGTTAGACGAATACCTTGAACTGCTACTACTTCTAAGCAAAAACAAACGCAATGAGATTTGTATAATACTTTCAAAAAAAGTCCATTTTAATAGTTATGCTTCTGCGCAGTAGTGGCAAATTAGGGGAAGGGTTGAAAGAGAAGAAGGAGAAGAAGGAGGGGAGAGGGCTCTCGTAGTTTTCCCTCGTGTTCCAGAACACCCACCGACAAGTTCAGGAATTAAATCCTTTGGGGAGAACTACGGCTCTTCTGCTTATGTTGCCCATAGCAATGTTAATAAACAATCTCATACCTTTAGGGAGAGGTGGTGGGGTCGTTTGAATACCTCCGCTACCACCCTGCATACCACCACTACTTCCACTACCATCACTACTTAAACTACCACCACCACTTGTACGGCGTTTACGTTGCGTTTTATCGGATCCCCTGATAACTTTTTAAATCAAAAAAAAAAAAAAAACCTTAAAAAAAGTTAAAGACGGAGCAGTTTTCGTATGGCTGTGAAAAGCTCAGTGCCGTGCCGTGAACGTTATGCTTTCTAGAATTTAAATTGGCTGAATTTTTTTCTCGAGCAATTTGCCGTGACCTTGGCCGTGTCCGCGCCGTGTTTATGCCGTTTTCTGGGTATTTGATTGGATGGAAGGTGAATTCTCTTGCAACGTGATTGGTCTGGCGTATCCCTTGCCGTGTCACGGACCGTGTTCGTGCCGTGAGCTTTTCACAGTCATACGAAAACTGCTCTATGTTATCATAAGTCAACTTATAATTCGCTTGCCACTGGTCCTCAGATATTGCTATTGAAACTCGTTAGGAAGACGGATGAATAGACCGGAATAATATTAGATGGAAAAGACCACAAGACTTTACTTTAAATCAAAACGAGTCTTTTTTAATATTGTTAAAATGATCACTCTGAGATCGAGTTGATAACTCATGTGGCAGAATGTAGAACGATTAACAACCAAATCATGATACACGATACACTTTGATCAATTAGTTTTGCTTGAAGATATTTGTGAAGTGAAATGTTTTTTTCATTCCTAAAAATATAAAACGCGGCATGTCTCTGTATTGTAATATGAACTCGTTGGGAGCTGTAGATCATCATCGTCATTAGTTTCCTTCGTGCTTCGAGTCCTTGGGGCACGTTTGCCTTGAATATAGTTAATACCGCTGTTCCAATAAACGCATGAAGTAGAATCTCTAAAGAGCACGAGATAATGAAACATCCTTAGTACTTATGCGAGTGCTCTACAGCTCACAGAGTATTTATGTCACAATACAGAGACAATAAATAAAGATAGCTTCAAGTTTATATTTTTACCACCCATAAATCCATTTAACTGCAAGACACGTGACCATAGGATTGCAATCAATATCCAACGTAGAATCTTCATTCCTGTGTATGAATATATCGTTAAAAAGTTTTATTGTACAACATCTGGGCTGATGAACAAATACAATTTGAATTTAGCTTGTTAGGTTTTACAGAGGGGAAAAAAACCCAGAGAACCAGGAGAAAAACCATTAAAACAAGCTCAATTCACATGTGATGCGGCGGTATAGGGATTGAACCTGAGACCCAGGAATTACGTGAGAGGTGGGTGCATTACTGCTATAGCTACGCCACTCATGCATGTGATTCGTTAGCTTTTGTCCTTATTTTATTTATTTGAGAAAGAGGATAATATGTAAAATATAGCTCTAATTAACCGAGTGCGAGGTCCGTACCGTAAGTTATGTAAGCTACGTTAGGCACTTGGGCCATAAAAAAAAGTTGGAAAAACGAGGAATCATAACTTAAACTATATAGAGATTACTTAATGGAAAATGCGCGCGTACGGCTTTTATGCACGAGTTGAGAAGTATCAGAAAACGAACGAGTGAGCGTAGCGAACGAGTGAGTTTTCTGATACGCATTAACGAGTGCATWAAAAACGTACAAGCATTTTCCATTCTGTAATTTATTTATCTCATAGATACTGAGATTTCAAMGATCAAAACTTCTAACAATAAAACTAATATAGTTGTTGGTCTACAGGCCAGGCGACCATATTGACTGATAAGCTTAYTGACTAAAAACGAACAATCAAAAACTTGGGCACTACTGCACTAAAAAAAGGGTTTTAATAAATAAACTGAATTTAATTTTGTTTTATATTACATATAGTTTACAAATTCAAGTCAGAAAGTTTGACAATTGAAATAGATCTGGTCATTTTTTAAGACACAAAAACAGCATGCTTGTTTACAGAATGAAATATATAAATCTTGAAATATTTAAGTTAACTGACAATTTGAATAAAAAAATGCATACTGTGGCTACCTTAGTGATAGAAATTACTAATCATCAGAATCACTTTGAATTCTTATTCYTTTCCGCTGCTTTGGAGGGTTTTCGTAGAGCGGAGTAAGTGGTGGTGACTGATTTACAGCGTTTATTGTAACTGAAAATTGTCCTCCATGAATTACGGCGTTTGAAAACAATGCCATGCAGCTCGTTGTCCAGAGTTCATGACAGGAGAAACTTCTTGAACATTTGAAGTTGATGTGTTTGTACTTTGGGTGAATGGAGTGACACTAGTACACGTAGTACTAATATTTGTGAGCATATGGGACATTTCCATCTGCTGTCGTACTTAGATGACTGTAATTCTCAAGTACTTTTTAGGTTTTTATGCCCAGACAGTTGAGCAATTTGAGTTGGCGGCACGTTGTTTTCGCTTAGAGTTTGAATCATTGTTTTCCTAGCAATATGGTTGCGAAGCTTATCATTATTCAATCCTGCTTTTCTTGTCATTTCTTTCATGAGACTTCCAAGTTTATTGACGCCGACTGCATTGTTCTTGAACCAGAATTTATCAAGGGACTTTGATTTTATATTGTTGACAGCGATGTAAAATGGAGCATCTGGACTTCTCATCTTTTGAGGTCTTTTCATAGCAAAGGTTTTGTAGACTGCCACTGGATCCCTTTCGCTCCCATCAGCCGAAAACATTTTAGGTGGAAAGAGTCTCACATCGCGTGGGTTCATGCCAGTGCGTCTTTTGTTTTGGCGTTCGTTGAACTCCAAGTATTCAGTGCCGCTGTCATTTTTGCACAGTTTTACATCACCCCAGCGCATATTGTGGTGCTCTTCTACTCCTCTTAGGCCAAAACGAAGAGAGTTATTGAGCCAAACGGTATTCAAAATCGTTTCTGGACTTGATAAACCAAGCTGTCCTTTGTCGTATAATATCTTAATTTCGTCATCTGTAATGGCGACGGAAGCGTTAGGTTTGTTTCCCTTCCCTAGTTTCTTTAGCTGTTTCTGCTTGGAGGATAGTGTTTTTCGCGTTTTTTCAAACACAAGATCATTGATAATGCTGTTTGGATAGGACTTTGGTTTAAGATGTCTTTCAAAACTAGACAACATCCCTCGTAGCGACGACGGTTCGTACTCTTGGCCTTCTTTGGTTCGTACACACACGAAAAACTCACTGAGAAGTTCATTCAGCTCGGCAGGAGGAATGTCGGCTATCTCGCTGCGAGTTTCACCTTTAGTTTGAAGAAACTTGGTTAACAAGGAAACATCTCTTGTCGTCTTTTTCACAGTATTTGTATTTTCTTGTTCTTGAATAAACGACTCTACTGAAYTGTCGAGTGACACAAATCTGGAGCTTTCTGAAGCCATTTTCGCTCAAGTTGCAAAGGCGCCAGTTTGTTGACACAGTGAGGCTTCGTCGATCTTGTTTCTGATTGTACGAACGGTATTTTTTCACTAGTGAAAAACATCGTTCGCCTTTCTCATTGGCTAAATTCAGCACACGAACGAGAATTTACTAAAGTAGATCTCCGTGTGTAAATCTCAGTATCTATGAGATAAAACTCGGTACGGAACGAGCAAACGAGGTTAATAAGATATTTATTATATGGTGTAAACACTCGTACAAGAGCCCCATTGGCGGATCCTGGATTTTTCAAAACGGGTTCCAGATTTTCCGCTTCTTTGCTTTTACTACATAAGTGCTCTTCGTTTGAATACAAATTATAAAACTTGTCTCACCTTATTTAATTTTATTATATAATTACCAATGAATTATCAGAAATATCTATCTTTCTCTATTTCGAAAAATTGATATTTTCACATCTGAAAATAACATGATATTTTCACGTGTGAAAATAACACCATTGCGATGGCTATTCAAAAATACGCTACGCTCACTCGTGAGAGATCTTTTCAACACTCGAAGAAGATAAAATTCGTATATACTCGTTTGACATACGGCCTCACGCAATTACGGAAAAACAAACTCGTGCAAATTAATTCCAAATTGAACTCGAAATCATCTTATTACTTATACTAATCAGTCAATCGTAAGAAAAACGGTGAAAAAAACAAAAACAAAAACGGGTGCAGCGGACCCCTTCGCACTACCCCTAGATCCGCCACTGAGCCCATACAATCACACGTGTGGGCTGATTCGGAGGCTGATTCGGGGGCTGATTCAAGTCAGGGCACGGCTAACTCAAAGATTGAACCCTGAAACAATCTCTGGCCTGTTCCAAGTCAGAGGGCATGGGTAACTCACAGAATGGATACTAAAACAAACCAGGGCGAGCTTAGTCRATTCAGTTTATGGAGGGAGCCACGTGGGAGAGGGAGGTTGGGACTAGAGAAACCAAGAAGATCTCTCGGATCAAGGGACGAGCATAACAAAGACTAACACAGGCAAAAATTGACTGCGAATAACTGTGAAATATGTGACTATAACTTGCTCTAAATAAGATACAAACTAAACTACGTACCTTATACGAATTAAGATGCTACACAATATCTTCGTTTTGAGCTGCCACGTCGTTCCACTTTCTGTACACCGCTCGACGACAACCAAACAACTTCAGCTGGAAGAACTGCACCTGTGTTTATAAAATGTACTTGTCAACATCTATAGAATAACATGATGTTACAACTCATTAGTACGCAGCCAGCATGCGTGAAAAGGCTAGTGAATAAACTCTACGGACGTCTATTATTGACCTCCTGTTCACACCATCAAAGTGTCGTAGTGCTACTTTGAACCATTTATCAATCTATTACTAGGGCATCACTACATCATATCAAGTTTTTTAAAAAAATTAGAAAATCGATCTAAATTATATCTATAATGGATATAACGAACAGAGTAGGCTGTGCAATTGATCACTTGGAGGGTTGAATACCAAATAGAATAACGAACCGAGACAAGAAATATTCATATTCCCACTAAAATTATTTGCCTTTTTGAAAGTACTGAAACTGTTTACGCCACACTTCTTCGCAGCTACTAAAAAGATAACAAGGTAAAACATGGTGTGTTTTTTGGTTTTGCAATGTTTTATCTTGCAAGCGATAAGAAATTAAAAATTCACCAATGTTTTGATAGCTTGGTAAACTCGTTGTAGATGTTTTCCCTTTTTTAATTGAAAGACGGAAGTACAGGTCACCAATTCTGGTTATTTGAAAATTGCCTGGTCCATCTGGCCAATCGTCACAGCTTGATATTGATTCAGGAGCTGAATAGCCTATTTAAAACAAAATTTCAATGCAAATTAAGATTGGTCTGGTTTTTGGTTTTGTGTTCTTGGAAATGGTCAGAAATTAAAAACTCACCAATGTTCCAATCGCACCAATGTAGATTACTTGAAAGAACTACAGGTTAATTGAAAAGTGCCTGGTCCAGCTGGTAAAATGGTCACCAGTTCGATATCGATTCAGGAGCTGTACGGCCTATTTAAAGGAAATTTCAATGCAATCGAGTGGTCTTTGATGTGGATGGGAAATAACGTGGTTTTTTTTTTAATTTCATGAAAATTCCTTGCACTTTACATAAACATTTACTGAGTTTTTTAAAAATGGGTATTATTAAGTGGTAATTAAACTTTGTGCCGGGCAATTTTGGTCTGAAATCAAATTAAATTGTGATTAACAAATTGTACCTCCCCTACGCGGTTGTGCAATTTCGTAATCACTCGTTTGATTTCAGACCAGTTTTCACTCCACTCAGTTCAATTAACATTATTTATCATCGTGTAGTTTTAACTGCAAATGGCACATTCAGTACATGACAGCTTGCTTCGTTAAATGCACCGCAGATGAACTCAGTTTGAACATTAGAGGGGCACTTGGATGAAAACGTCCCAATTTTTGAAATTCCGAATAATTGAAGAATTTGAGGATAATATGACTCAATTATGACTATACAAACCAGATTAGATAAAATTGTTGCCTGGGCGAAGCCACTTGCAGCTGAAAATTTTTAAGGTTGAGTAAACGACGTCATTTACTCACAACTTAGATGCTGCTCGTCAACTATTGGGGCCATATAGATAAGTTTAACCAAGTTTCAAGGCATTTCCAATTTTTATCCATTTTCATCCAAGTGCCGCTTTATATATTTTGTCTTTTTGCTTGGCTTTTGCTCAGCTGATTCTAGCACATTTTTTATTTTTTATTTTTTGCCCAGCTCGTAAAAATAGAAACTAACGAAAAACATTAGATTAGATGTGGTGTATTAATACAAACGTTATAAAAAAAATCCTATGCTTTTGAACACAGGACGTTCAGTCAATCTAAGCTCTGCGTCGAAAAACAAATACGAGCAATACAGGCTTTACCACAGTCAAACAAGAAATACCCCCAAGGCACTATGTCATCTATGGCAGGTGAACACACCTGAACACAAGGCTTGGGTTTATCGACTAAATATGCTATAATGATGCCCTGGTTAAGGATTGATAAGTGGTTTAAAGAAGCACGATTACACGTAGTCAAAATAAATAATTGGTCTTTCATATCTGAACAGCAGGTCATGAATAGACGCTCGTATTTTAGCCTTTTCTTAATGACTGCGTACTAATGAGTTGTAACAGCTGGTTATTCTGTAGAGAGTGACAAGTACATTTTATAAACACAGGTACAGTTCTTGCAGCTGCAGTTGTTTGGTAGTCGAGCGGTGTGTAGAAAAGCGAAACTCGGCGTGGTAGCTCAAAACGAAGATTTTGTGTAGCACATAAATTTGTATAAGGTATGTAGTTTAGTTTGTATCTTGTTATTATTTGTTTAACAGTTTGTTTTTAATTTGGTATTTATTAGCATATGGTAATATTTTTTCCCAACTTATAAAAGCTCTAAATTGTCGTAAGATATAGTTATGATTTTTGGTACCTCTGTCAGTTTTTCTTTTCTTTTTTGCCTGTGTTAGTTTAAATTTGTTAAAACCTTGAAAATTCAAATACTTTTGTTATCGTTTTTGATAGTTTGTTCGTTGTTGTTGTCGTTGTTGTTGTTTTGCCTTATAGTCTTATAGTCCCCCAACCCTTAGCGCTAAAACAAAAACTGTATATTCTAATTCAATCTGTGAGATTAACTTAGCTGTGCCCTGCCTTTGGTAAGGCCATGGAGGTTGTTTCAGGAGTAGCCGTGCCCTGACTTAGATTAGCAAAGAGTTCTTCTTATGCAAAAAAGTATGTGTTCGACAAATGGAAATACGATTTGATTCAAGTTTCGAAGATATATAAACTTACCGTTCTTTTCGATTTGACTTGCTTTATTTGCGTTGGTATGTTTGTTTTTCCTATTGACCAATCAGATTTCGTTGCTATATCATTTTCAACAGCCAATGAAATTCGATAGAATTTCAGGGTTGCCCAGAACCTACCCTTTTCGTTATGAAAAGGCTCTGGGTACAAGAATGAGCTGAACTCTCGTCATCACAAGTTTTTTTTTCCAGTTTCTCTGGTTTTATACTTACCGGCGTAAAACTTAATATTAAACATACTAAATTCCAATTCAATCTGGGAATTAGTTGTGCCCTGGTTTTACGGTGTGACTGCACCAAAAARGCCACCCAGACACATTTTCATACAAATTAACCAATCATGATTGGGTATTTTGACAAAAGAATCTGCACAAAACAGAACATTATGCTGACAGCATAATGACATTTATGTCGAAACATTATACTGTTGTAAGATCCGGTAATCCAACTAGATGAA